ATGAAGCCACACATTGGGAGCGAGGTCAATTAATTGAGTTCATATCTTCCCGTGAGGAGTGAAATGATGTGAAGTTTATTTGAAATAATTCATATATGATTGATTGATAGAAGATCTATCCTCAATCTCGTTCCCAGATCCCACGTGTCTTTTGGTCAGCGCCAAGACACGGAGCTTTGGAATAATCAATTTCCAGACTCCAAGATTTTAGGAATTCCGGTTTCACGGCGCATGCGTGCCTTGGTTTAAAACATGGCAATTTCGTTCCCAGAGCCCACGTGTCTTTTGGTCAGCGCCAACCAAAAGACACGTGGGCTCTGGGAACGAGATTGCCATGTTTACAAACCCCCCTCGAATGACACGTTTCAAATTAACATAGAAAACGCTACGGTAAATGTTTTGAAAGTTACTTCGAAAATGCTTTATAATGAATTTAAACGCAAAAAGCAAACGGCGCCTTCTGCTCAAAAGAAAATAAAACTAAAATATCCAAATCTTTCTCTGGAATGGAAAGAAATTTACTTCTTCCGTTTACGGTCACACATGATACAAAAACTAGGGAATTTCAGTACAAGCTGTTAAATAACAATGTTTTTACAAATGAAAAATTATTCAGACTTAAAATGATTGACTCTTCACTTTGCGCCTTTTGTCAAACGGAAGTCGAGTCCCCTGGGCACTTATTCTTTCGTTGCAATGTAACAAAATCTTTCTGGCAGTTGCTTTGTTCCTGGATTTCTGAAAAAAAAAGGTAATCCCGACATCCTTAACGCTAGAAAATGTTATCTTTGGAGTATTCAATGTCGCAGAGGACTTTCATATTCTAAACCATATTATTTTATTAGCTAAATATTATATTTATAACTGTAAATTAAATATCATACATCCTTCTCTAAAGGTCTTCATAGCCAAGGTTAAAGSAACTTGCCAGATTGAACAGAAAATTGCAGCTAACAGCAATAAATTGGTAAAACATTATAAAAAATGGAACAAATTTCTACCTTGCTTCAGTTAATTTAGTTTCTGTTTTGTGATGATGTATGTAGAGATCTATTTATATTAACATTGTAATAGGTTTCTTTACCTCCCCTTTTCTCCCTTTTTTTTTTCTTTTTGTATGTGTATCCCTTTTTAATGTAAAATTGTAAAACTAGCATTACAGTATCTCTTTGCTTGTCCATTGCACAACTTACAAATAAAAACAATAAAATACAAAAAAAAAAATGTTTTAAACCAAGGCACGCATGCGCCGTGAAACCGGAACTCCTAAAATCTTGGAGTCTGGAAATTGATTATTCTAGAGCTCCGTGTCTTGGCGCTGACCAAAAGACACGTGGGCTCTGGGAACGAGATTGATCTATCCTCAGTCGTGCGCAGGGCGGAAAAAGGCCACATATAAGCGCCCTGGTCGTGCTTGTCCGCCACAAAAGAGAAAAGCACCACAAAAATACTACGAATATAATATGTTTTGGAATGATCAACATTGAACAGATTGACAGCTGAATTGACAGGTTTACAAATTGGTCAAGTGAAACTCAATTTGTCCTAAAATAAATTAATTTTGGTTTTGATATAATTATACATATTACCGTTTCTGTTTTTTATTAATCAGGTAGCCTTAATAGCGTGACCAAGGTATGAAAGTTGTTTAACAGCATTGTTCATGACACAATGGACAGTGTGTTTTAATAAGCGTCGAATGTTGTCCTTCAGTAGCACATCTAATCTAGTGTTCTTTGGAGCGAGGCCTTAAACTGTTCTAAGCTTTCGCTGATCCACGACATCATAAGTGATAATGCCGTGGATCAGCGCCGAATGTACATTTTAACTATACAGAGTAGTTTTACAGTCTCACCTGAAAGAACACTATCGTATTTTAATCAATGCAAAACACGGCAAAATGATTAAAGCATTGCTTACAGATAAAAGCCGAGATAAGGCAAGGATAATTGGAACTACCTACGTAAATACTGTATTGTTTAGTTAACAAATATTGATCATGTATGTTTAGTTTATACCACTTCAAGTTGGCAAACGTTGGCTTAAACTAACTAAATTACCTGCGCGAAACTTTTCTCGTTTTTCCATCTGAACAAGAAAAGGTCATATTTATTCAGACTATTGGTTGAAGTTGTTCATTCAGTAACAACAGTAAAGCGTATGGGCCGCGGGTAGTCTAACAGAATCACTTTACATTCACACGGAGAAGAACACGTAACTGAACCAGTATGCCGAAGACAATCGACAAGGCAACATGTTTCGTTCTGTTGACAAAATTCGCAGGTCGGAAATACAGTGACGAGGAGAAGTTTGCCAGACTTCTGGAAATCTCGTCCTACAAGCAAGAACTGGAAGGACTTTATCGAAAAACCTCAATACGACACAGGGACCAAGCAACCTTGAACGTGCTGTTTCAAATTCTCCAAGTGCAAGAAGTTGGGAGTATCGAACAATACCATCTCAACGGATTGGTTTTTAAGGTTCACGTTTTAGAAGATACAGAGCTTTGACATTCTAAATGACAAGGAATTCAACTTCCAACGTAATTTTGACAAATAGAATATTAATGTTAATAATAATGAAGTCGATTGTGATATCATTTTTAACATAGTATACTGATATATTTACAACAGATTTAGCTGCATGTGCTAGACAGCTCAGTGAAATGAAACTAATGTGGCATTGATCCAAGGCCATACTTTCCGATGTAGTCACTTGCGTTGCTCTGTTTTGAACCACTTTGAAAGTTGATATAGGAAATCGCGACCTCTTTTTCAAAATCGACTACAACTCGATACAACACTGACGAAAATGGAAAACGTGAAAAACTACTCAAGTTCAAGAACGTTACGTTACACCGACTACCGCGCTGTTGTGTCTTCAAAACTCAAACAAAAGAAAACAACTTAAAAAGAATTTATCCACAATATTTGTTTAGCTCAAATAAATCATGAAATTGTAAATTGGTATAATAGAACCTCTTTGATACGGATAGCCAAGCGAAAACTCAATGACCGTGTCATGGAGATGTCATTTTTATGGAGTTTTGTTGATATTTCGTTAGTAAATAGGTTTAAATTGCCAATTTTCTTCTGCTCCCTTCACACAAGCTGCTCATCCTATTTTTGGTTTATTGAGAGAGCTCTTATCTCGGTAGGGAACTTACGTGTTGATCGTTTGTTATGCCGGTACAGTGGAACCCCGCCTTACGAATACCCCTTTAATATAGCCGCCCCGTTCATACAGCCACTTTATTCTGGCCCAAAAAAAGCTCAGTCAGTCATTTTCTTATTTAAAGAATCCTTTAATATGGCCACCCCGTTAATACGGCCACTTTATTCTGGCCCGAAAAAAAGCTCAGACAGTCATTTTCTTATTTAAAGAACCCCTTTAATATAGCCACCCCGTTAATACGGCCAGATTTTTGTGGCCCGTTGGTGACCGGGCTAACGGGGTTCCACTGTAGCAGGTATCCCTGTGAGATCATTAAAATTTCCTCCAACTGCTATTCTAATTGTTTAAGCTTCCTAAAATAGGTATTTATGCATGTGTATATTAATGAAGTTAAGTTCAAAATATATATATTTCCACATTGTTTTAGTTTGTTTTCTGGGTTTTTCCAGCGTTTTCAACACTTTTATGAGTCTAAAATGACTAAAATGATTTTACAAGACATGGAACTGACTTGTTCAGGTTCATGTTCTTTCTTTTCTTTCA